CAGAGCACAAGTTAGAAGAGACCTGTGAATCTCTGGGCAGGGGAAGCAGTCGGAGACTCTTGAAGTAGCTGGGGTGAGAATCAGGGAAATGGATGAAACATTATCAAGTTTCAGATTGTTCTGAATTGAGAGTCTTTAGCTATTAATGGCAAGAAATAGTTCCAATTATAATTTGCAATGGTCTGCAGAAACAAATAAGAGCAAGCCGGAACCTTATTCATAAAGGGATTCCCTCCCTAAATGGATTTTTGAACTGTTTCATTTTTTTATGACTATTGGCCTGCACACGCCTGCCTAGGTGTTACTTTCATTCTTGCACTGAAATGGCCACATCAACACAAACTCAGGGAGACACTAAACTCTTAGAATGTCTTTAGTTTGGGAGTTTAAACATAAGGAACCGTTAGGTTTTGCAGTGGCTGCCATACCAAAACATAAATCACATCAAAATTGTTTGAAATTCTGTCTTTAGAAGGTTGTGTGTTTTGACAAACCTTGCAGCAAATTTGGTCCAGCTTTTGGATTTGTCATGAAACCTGAAACCAAGCATTCTCGCCTGCCTTGGGGTCTCCCAGCGCAAGTTCCAAGCAGCCTTAGCATAATACCTGCCCTAATCTCATCCTGGCAAGGACGTTAGTATGCTGGGCTGCGCTGCTGGAAGTTTGGGGTGGACTCAGCAAATATTTTATGCAATTATGGAGAAGGACTGATCGAGACGGCAATACACTTTTCTGTGTCTGAGTATTTTTAAGAGTGTAAATTGCAGAATTAGCAATACGTTATCCCCTGTTGGCTAGTGACTTGGAGATACCCAAGCCATGATTGGGGCAGAAAGTTAATTAATCTGCTTATTAAAAAGAAGAAATGTCTCATTTGCATGCGTTTGCATTCTGGTCTTGAATTCATCATGCTTTTTGGTGGTCATTTGCTTTATTTCCTTAATACCACTGACCTACCTAGGTGTTAGCTCAATACATTTAAATTTTCTGTGACTGGGCTTTGTTTAAGTGTCATATCTCTGGTTATTGTTGGTCCTGGCAGAATTTGATTATTTTATGGATCGATTAATTCTCCATAGAGATTCTTTCTTTCCCCTTCCATGGGCTGTTGGGGTTTCTTATGGTTATCATATTCCATAGTTGGGAAAAGATTTATTTACTTGACCAGTCTTGGAAAATACTTTTTCACCATAAGAGATGGGCAGGTTATCTGGGGATGATCCATTCAATTATTTGCAATTTCCACTCAACCAAATTTTCCTTGGTCATTTTTATAGCAGTTTTCTCCTTCTTTGTTTTTCCTGTCTTAATGGGAGGTTTGCTTTTGGTTTTTTAATTTATTTTTATTTTTTTTACTTCACAGGAAAAAAGACCATTGCTCTCCTTAGGTGTATTTTATACATTCCACATTCAGAATGATCGTTTTTACCAGAAAATACCCGGGAACCTAAAGGGCCTATAGGAAGTCTTGAGAGAAGAGGGAGGTGGCTGGGAAGAGGGGTGCGTGGGGAGAGATGGGGTGAGAAGGAGTGGAAGGGCAAAGAATATAGCAAGCCCTTGGAACAACAGCAAGTCAAGCAAAACTGTATAGGGAGATTAGTGCTGAAATAAATCTCTGCATGTGAGTGAATCACCAGCCCAAATTCGGGGGACCACAGTGGGTGTTTCTGTATTTTGTAGTAATCAACATTTCTGATGCATTACAACAGGGTGGTTGTCAGGGGTGAGTGGCTCCTGCCGCGGTTAGACCACCTCTATGCTAACAAGCTTAGCTATCAGGTTGTGAAGGGTCCTGGCTGGAGGAAAAAAACTAAAACCAAACCTTAGACCTCTTGTCAGACTGTGAGGAGAATTATATTTGTGAACTAGTCTACAGTGTGGACAGGAAATGACCTCTTCACAAACTGCTTCTTTAAAAACAAGCAGTGGTGCCTAAAGCTATCCAGCTCCTCTCTTTCTCTCTCTCTCTCTCTCTCTCTCTCTCTCTCTCTCTCTCTGTCTCTTTCTCCCTCCCTCCCTCCTCCCTCCCTTCTTCCCTCCCTTCCTCCATACCAACCTCCCTCCCTCCCTCCCTCTCTGGAGCTCATGCTCTCTCCCTCTCCCTCCTCTCCCGTGCTCCCTCCCTCCCTCCCTCTTTTCCTCCCTCCTCTCCTCTCCCTCTCCTCTCCTGCTATAGAGGGCTCCGACAGCAGTTCCCAGCCAGTGTGTTCAGCCTGCCTGCCTGCCTGCCTCTGTGTGTGTGTGAGCGTGTGTGCGTGCGTCTACTTTGTACTGTGAAGAACACAGCCCATGTGCTCTGCATGGACGTTACTGATACTCTGTTTAGCTTGATTTTCGAAAAGCAGGCAAGATGTCCAGCACACCACATGACCCCTTCTATTCTTCTCCTTTCGGCCCATTTTATAGGAGGCATACACCATACATGGTACAGCCAGAGTACCGAATCTATGAGATGAACAAGAGACTGCAGTCTCGCACAGAGGTAAGTACTTCAACCTTGGGGATGTATTTGTGTTTTTTTTTAAGCTATGCATGAGCTTTTCCTAGGGTTGCTGGCTGAATTCTATGGGAAGTGTCCCACTTGCTACTACCACGTACGTGGAAATGAGCGCCAGGCTGAATCCACGAGTTTGAACACTGGGTTTCCAGGCACAGCAACTCTTGTAGCAGGGGACAGTTTCTGCTGGAATCTTGAGACAACCCAGCACTTGATTCACATGCTGGGTTTCCAGAAATGTTGCTCTCCCAGAACTCTGGTGTTTTGCAGCCTCTGAGTCAGTTCTGTTGGTGTTTCTTGAGATATAATTCCAAGGAATTTTGTGGTTCTTTGCATCCGGCAAAATATATATATATATATGTGTGTGTTTGTGTGTGTGTGTGTGTGGTTTTTTTTACAAATCCTAGAGGAAGTCTGCCTTGACCTGTATTTGCTTTTCAAAGTCACCAAAATTGAGGTAAAAGGGGGCAGAAGAGTAACGGTGCCTACTTCTCAGAGGTAACCCAGGAGGGACACATGTTTGTATATTTCCGTGTTAATATCAGAAACCAGTTGCTTGGGGCAAGGGGACTCTTGACTTTCTCCTATTGCTGTCGGCATATCCCCCCTGAACACTTCACCTTAGGACAGGAGCTGGTTCAGCTTTCAAGTCAGCTCTAGTTTTTACATATTTGAGATCTTGTGCCTGTGAGGGAGACTGCTTCCTAGGCAGTCAGCAACTCTGGGAGCAGAGAGAACAGGACTTTCAGAACTTTTTAAATGCAAAACTCCAGACTCGGCTCCTGCAATTTAAATATTTTATGTCAGTTGACTTTTTCTCTGTGCTAGCTCAGCTGGCAGGTTTTGCTGCTGGGTTGTCCATCTGCCTTTAAGTTGGAGCTTTGTGTGGAAGTGTTCGAAAAAGGAGTTTGTTATAGGTGCACCAAAGTCGCTTTAGGAAGTAGAAATTGCTAGGAATTTAGTCTTCTCTGCAGAGTACAAATACCCAGAAGATTTATGCCAAAGAGCTTTTAGGGCATAGCTTTGGTGGAATTTTAGATTGAAGATTGACTTTTAACTCTAGGAAGGGACCCCATTAAGTTTGGATTATAGAATAAAACACACTTGCTTGAATTGTCAACAGAGCCATAGAGAATTCATGACGTTTCGTGTATTTAATACAGCTAACAAGATGTGACCTGCTTTCTGATTGGCTAACTGCTGGACAAGGACTTATATGTATTTTAAAAGCCGGATTGTCTTTAATGACTGCTATTTTCTTTATATGTTAATATACCATAGACGCTAAATATGACTGCTGGTACTGTTGCTCTCTCTAGAAAACAGTAGCTTCTCTAGAAGTACAAACTACATTTTGCTTAGGGTGGTGAACTGTTGGCAGTAACTGATATTTGTACTTGCTGTTTTGTGTATGTTGCTTTGTGTGTGTTACAGTTTGTATATTTCCTTCAGATCTTTGCAACTGTGTATTGGAATCTTAAATCTCTGCAAAAACTATTGGTTGACATAGCCTGCTTTCAGAATTAGGAGGATAGAAAATGACTTATAGTTCAGGTATACATTAACTGCGATATAAATTTGGGAAAAATAGTCTTTTTAAAGTATAATTAGTTATTAAAAAGAGGCCAGGGACCATTATGGCTCAATTCTTGAACAGCAATAAGATTTAAAAATGACCTGTGTCCATCTTACATTTTAGAAAGTTTTTTGAGGAATTGTAGAAAGATATTCTTCTTCATCCTCCTGCAGATAGGAGCACTTGGCCATTTCTGAGCTAGGAGACTTATCTGCAAGATTTCCCTACTCTTGCCCTCATTTAAAAAAAAAAAAAACTGCAGGATTCTATATGATCCCATGTTTGTTTCCCATTTGAGACAAGACATTTGAAAATACCTCTTTTTGCAGTATGCTTTGCAAAGATGGCACATCATTTTTTGTGAGAGCTAAATTCAGGAATTCCAAACTTTTGAATTATGGGATATCACTTTTAAAGATTTAGCTCTGAGTAGAAAAAGACTACTTCATAGCTCAAGAACCAAGAGAAGAAAGCTTGCTATTACAAATCTTAAAGATTTTTTTAAAGCCTCCTTGCCTGTGACAGTAAAGTGGTATGAACTAGTTTCTGTTGTGGTCTGGAGCTAACCCTTTACATTTGTTCACTCCTTAATGAGATAATTTTAAAAGTAATTATTCAAATAATTGCCTCGACACTTCTTTTTCCTTTGCTAAGCAGTAAATACTGTCATTAACACATTGCCATACATTTGTTTTCATTTCATATGGAAAGAGGAGAGAATCAAATAATTCCTCCTAAGATATTTAAATATTTACATTAAATATTAAATTTTGATCATGATGTGTGTACTCTGAAAAAAATAACTTTTCATGTAAAGTTACACTATACCTTTACCAACAATTGTTATTTATGAAAGAGCTGCTCTGACTTCTGGAGAGGGATTGCTTGGAATAAAATACAGTGATACTCAGCAAGAGTTATTAGTTTATTTGCATGCAAAATTAAATATGCTGTTGAGTGACTACTTTGAGAATTTAACCAAAGCATACAACCATTTTGGGCAAGAGTGACTTACCCATCCCTCTTCCTTCTCTCTCTCCCTCTCTTTCTTCTGGTCCCACTCTTATAGTATATAGTATTATTTCATTAAGTCCTAATCTCTCTCTCTCTCTGTCTCTCTCTCTCTCTCTCTCTCTCACACACACACACACACACACACACACACTCCTTTTGGAACATGGACTTGACTTGAAAAAATATAGCAAAACAGTATGTGATGAAGAAATTGCAATCAAGTTTCTGGAAATTTCCTAGAAATCTCCTTTTTTTAATGAAAATAAATTAGTAAAGAACCATGGTGTTCCCTTGCTCTCCTTCCATGGCTAATCCCAGGGTGTTTTCTCATGGGGTTAGATGAATTTCTTCCAATTAAATTAAATCAAAGTTCTTCAGAAGCTGTGCAGTTTTAGTTTAAAGAGCATGGCACAAGGAGTTAATATTACTTCTAACTCTTACTAACTAGTTGGCATGGGTCCTGGTTCCTCATTTGCAAATTATCAACAGTGTCCCTTTAATTGAAAATTCAGATTTTCTTTTCTTATGTATGAGAAAATATTGTGAAGTAAAGGGTGTGGACACTATTTCTTTGCTCATGGTATTTAGTTCAAAATCACAAATTGTAATAAAATAATTAGGTAATGGTGAAGAAAACTTGAAGATCCAGTCTGGTTTTAAAGCTAGCACTTAGAGCAAGTATTGCCTGGACAAAGTAGATACTCATTAAACATTTGCTGACTAGCCAATCAATGAATCAGTAGACAAAAGGAGAGAATTTGAAAACCAATGCATTTAAATTAGCACCTTCCTTGATAAATACAATTCTGAAGTTTTGGGGGGCCTTGTATCTCCTATTGAGATGAGGCAGCTTTGGGCCACTGCTTCTCACTGTCCCTAAAGTTCTCATTCCCACATCCCCCACATTTATTTGATCTGAGGTCATTTGGATCCCTGATATTTGCGGCAAAGGAAAGCAAGTGCGTAAGTACTAACAGGACCTCACCTCTCTGTAAAGAAATAGGCATGTATTAAAAAGCAAACAGCAGCGACAACAACAACAAAAGTATGTTTTAAATGCTGCTTAGCTGTTCTGGGACATAAATTTTTTTTGCAACAGTAGAATCTCAGTGGAATTTAATCAATAAATGTGTGGGTGCTCCCCCCACCCTTTAAAATGATATTAAGAAAAACTCTGAGGTTTGTATCATTGTTGTTCACTGCAATTCCCAGGCAGCAGTAAGGAGTTTACATTCTCTGGTGTGTATGCTGTCAAAAATCGACCCCATGTCTTCCAAAATTCATGTATTTGAATGGTCTTGCAGTGCGAAATTTATTTTGGAAGAATACAATCGCACAATTATATAGTTTTAACATTGCACACACAATACAGTCAGATAAGATGTAAAAATATGTTCTGAAGACTTCAGAATTTGTTTTGTGAAAAGCTTCAATGAAAGCAAAAACAATATATTTTTTCATTTCTAGGTTTTGGCTCTGAGATGAAAATATAGGTAAAATATATGAGAAACTTTAGAGTGGGCATCATTGTAAGTGAAGGGATTTAACTAATGTGGGGTTATTAGAAAATTTAAGAAAGTTTATCAAGTAAAGTTCACAAATCTTTGTTAGAGTAGATAACTTTTTTATGCCTTGTCTTCTCATTCAAATGACCAAAAATCTGAAATTAAGTGAAGATATTTGTTAAGAATATACAGTTTTTCATGTTCACAACATGATAATTTTTTTAAACCATAAACACCAGAAAAGTGTGAGTTCTATTATGTACTTTTCCTGTTTTGAGATTTTTTCTTTTATCAATATTACACATCCTCTTTCAAAAGAGAAACCTGTGATTACAATCGGAAGCTGTGCGCACAAGGATTTTATTAGAATTACAGTTTTTAGTTTTATAGGATTTAATATGAAGGTTACAAATGTTCAAAGACCTTGAAATTTAAATCTGCTGGTTTTCACCCCTTCTCAGCTCAACTCTCAAACTCCCTGGGGAGGGGGTGGCGGGAAGGGGGTGGTGAGGAGGGGGATTCTCAGTCCTCTTTTCTTTCAGCTACATTTTTATATACTTTAGTCACAGGGTTCCACGTTGTAACATCATGTTTATTCATGGAATAGCTTGGTATCACTGATGTTCAGATGGAATCTAGTTAAAATGAGATTAGTTATTTTGGATAGGTAGAGAAAAAGAAAAAATGCTTTGTGTGATAACTTGGAGGTTTCTCTCTCCTAGAAATTTAGAAAGAAAAATGTTGCTGTTACTCTGAGATATATGAATGATTTTCAGTGTTAAAAACAGACCTTTGCAAGTTGTTTGAAAGGGATTGGTGAGGTGGGGGAAGGGGGTTGGGTGGTGGAAAGGAAAGCTATTTTGAAAATGTTAAATGAAACCAAAAGTGCA